CAGAAAAAGGCCCTGAGGGCCTCGTCGAGCCTGCCTTCACTTAGGGCGGCCGACGGGCTGAAAAAGGGGGCCTTATGGGGCTCATAGAGGCTTTGACCTCGCATTCCCTCCTCCTCAGCTTCAACAGTCCTCTGAGAAGCTAAGTCTTCGATCGTAGGGCGCTTTCCCTTCTGCAGAGATCTCTCGTATTGGGCTACAACTTGAGGAGCGGTCTGCATGAGCTCTTCCCTGGTGAACCATCTGTCCTCCTTCGGATCAGTGTGATGCCGGAACCGAACGCGGTACTGCAGCTTCGGTTTTGGAGGACGTCCCCGGCCTGCTGGTCTTGATACCGGCAGCTCTCTGTGGTCCACGATATCATCGATGTCCACCTCTCTGTCCATGGTTGGGGGCAGCATTGAGCGACGAGATGGAAACTGATCAGTCTCTTTGAAAGGTGCCAGTTTGGAGGCGTTGGGGTCAACTTGACTCCTAGACCGGGAGCCTCTGCGGCGTCTACCGGTCGCCTTACCTTTTTGTGCTACGGCAGCGACCACTCCACCCTCTGAAGTGTCTATGCTGCCTGCCTCTGAACCTACTCCCTCCTGGAAGTTGCCATCCAATTCGATGGTAGAACCATCGTTGTCGACAAACATCAAGCGACCTTTCGCCTTCCAGTTAGGAGGCAGTGTCTTCTTCCTCCCGTCCGTATTGGGTGCCTTTCCATGCCCTATCTTTGCTTCAAGGTCTAGGGCCACCTTGCTAAACGAAGGGAAGTTGTGCATATTGATGTTGGCCTCTTTTGCCAACTGGTTCCTGAGAGGCTGAGAAAAGCATCTCAGGTACGAAGTCAACTGGACCTGGGGTCATAGCGCACCCCAGGGACACAGATCAGACGCTCAACAACGTCGGTGGCTTCCCTTACTGACTTAAACTGCCTTGTGTGCAGTGTCATGATCGCATCAGTGGCCCTTTGAGCCTCTTGAGGATCGTGCCACCTCTCCTCCACCATCTTCAGGAAGTCATCCAATTTCTGGGTGGCTGCCCAAGCGCGGAAGTCATGACCATATCCCTGGAGCTGCACTAAGCGGCTCAACCATCTTGCTGCACTACCCTCTAGGTAGGAAGCAGCCACAAACACTTCTTCGTGCGACAAAGTGAGTTTACACCTGACGTAGACCGGCACTGACCTCAACCATGTGTTGAGGTCTTCGCCTTTCTTGTCCCCTGTGAAAGGTTTGGGAGCGGCGATGGCCGTCTTTGGAACCCACTGGGTTTGTCCCGGTCCTTGCACCACTCCGGGCTGTGGACCCGGTGACACAGGTTGCTGTGCTACCCGGTGACACAGGTTGCTGTGCTAGCTGCTGGGGCTGCGTGCCCTGAGGCTGCACAGGCTGCGAGACAGCAGGCTGCATGGTGACTGCAACCTGCAACGGACTTTGAGTGAACACTGTCTGTACAGGAACCTGCAAACTACTCCCTGCTGTTACCCCTCCTGACAGCGGCATGCCCAGGGAAACGATAGCAACCGTTGACGGGGCTACATAAGGGGATACTCCGGTCACCCGTGGGACAGAAAAGGGAGGATATGGCACGGGCCAGGCACCAGGCCCGGCTGGTGATGGTGCTGCCTGAGCACGGCCTGCCAAAACGGCTAGGCTCTGTTGAATGTCCTGAAGGATGGTAGATTGATGCTCCTGCATCTCTATTACGCTTAGCAGGGCCCTCCTAACTACCCTCACATCATCATCCATATTGTTCAGGTCCATCATCTCTAACTCCTCTATATCTGCCCCTCTTCGCTGCATCCTGGCTCTTCTCCCGATCTTCTCTTTTTCCGCTTTTATCTCCCCTAATGCCTGCTGTAGCTGTGCCTCCTGCAGGGCTGCCTGCTGGATGGCGACATCCTCTGGAGTTAACACCGCGGCCTGGCTTGCCATAATGCCAGTGGACTGACTCACGTTCTGCGCGACCGTTGACCCGACGGCACCTGAACTACCGGCTTGGGAAATCTGCTGCGCAGAAGTGGACATGGCTGTAGTGGCCATGGCTGCTGTAGCACCGGCCTCAGTAACTAAAGTTCTGCTGGCCTCGGCTGCTCTAGTCCTCCTCTGCTGCTGCCGCCTCTCCCTAAGCTGGCGGAACAGATGTCTATCACCCTCCGGTCCTAAAGACACGTGGGATATCGGGCCCCTAGCTGATCGCAAGATCCTGCGGTCGTCCTGTCCCGTGTCCTCCTCGTCGCTCATAGGCTACAACGCTGTGCACTGTCTACACTAGATCACACCAGATGTCTACCCTAACATAGTGCATAGACCAACTAATTAGCTGGTGGCTATTTTGGAACAGATGTCATTTGAGGTCAACAGGTAAGTCAGATTCCTACGACTGAAACTATTTTTAGTATGACTAGTCCGCAAACAGAAGCACCAGGAACAAGCAACAGTTCTAACTAATGCTGTCTGTCAGATGTCAATGGCAGTCCATCTAACTAATCAAAACATAAAAACAGAATCATTTGCGTGTATAGGACAGCCTGGAATTTTCTCGAACTTGTCACCTGGAATTAACCCCTCCCTTAGTTCCCCTGAGTATCTCTTGACGTCAGCGTCCCTGAGCAATCTGGAGAGCGATGCGTGTCTAAAGGTGTGTGTCCGGCCCACCCCTGTGCCCCGAGTATCCACGGAGCCGGCCAGCCTTGCACGTATATTTATCCTCGGCGTGCCGCGAACCTTCCAACCATTGACTGATCCAGGGGCAATTTGGCGTCCGCCCCCAAGTGACTTCAGGAATTATTTTACGTTGCAGCCGGACGACGATCACAGTCAATGGTTCCCCTTCCCGTGTTTATTTATAGACGCCGGGTGCTCGTCTTTCCTGTAGGGCTGGCCTGCCCAGTAGTACCCATCTAACAGCGCAGCAAGCCGAACAAAGGACAAGCAGCTTAGGCATGCGTGCTCTACTCCCTGTGGGTTGGCATGGTGACCGTGACCCAGTGCTTCGTCCAGGGCCCTTCAGAAAGCTTCGCCCATCTCCACCCAGATGCTCCACGTGAACATTGCTGACTCTCAAGGTTAAGCGCACTCGACACCTCACAATGAGAGGACTCTCAAGAAGGAACACACAACCTCACGGTAAGAAGTGTCAGAGAGGGAAGATAAGGTTAAGAGCAACGTACCTCATTTAGCTGCCCCCAACCACATAGATAATCTCACCAGATGACCAAATGGCGATTGCGATGACCAGTCACTGCATCAGCACAACCAGCATTATCCACCGTTCCACCTCAGCATCAATCGCACATTAGATAGTTCTCTTCACACTGTCCAGACCACATTCACTTCACATAGCCTTCCTGGCGATTCCCCTCACCTCCTGGGTCGCCTTCACACTCGTCTCCACCCTCCTCACTACACACCACTGACGGCCAAACTCGCCCAGCAGACCGCATGTATGTACCGCATAAGGCAGAAGACAAGTGCCAGATGAGCGCAATTGTACCACAGCTCCGATACCAAATTGCAAGGAAGTTGAGCAATAGCGAACTTCAGCAATCAAACAGCATCATACATATGAGTCCAGATAGTCTTGACCTCGAACCAAAAGCAGAATTGCAACACGAGATTCACCAAATAAGAACACACCAAGAGTTCATAATTGACAATGCTGAAGTAGTCCCATCATCATCAACGAAGAACCAGAGTTGCTATCCTATCTGGCGCAG